GTAAATGACAAACTAATTCAAAATGACACACCAAACTTCCTTTGATTCTGACTTTTTATTAACTGTTAGAAAATGCCTTGAATCTGTTTCTAGACCTATCAGGATTACAACTAGGAACAAGATTAGGATTGTTTTGCCTATTCTCATCTTTATATATGTAGTAGGATTAGGATTACCCGTATCCCCTTCCCTATATATATAGCTTGCATTTGTACTTCTCAATTCATGGTAGAGAAAATCTGTAATCACTTGAGAAAGTACTGATCAATAAAAGAATTTTTCTCTTCTGTCCGTGGAGGTGGAGGTTACTAACAGGTTGTTAGTAAACCACGTTAAATCTGTCTTTTTCGTGATTGTCGATTGTTCGTGTTCATACTTTCTCGCATCTGTCATAACATTAACTTTTGGATAGTATATTAGGTTGTTGCTGAAAATTCCACAAGTGATATTTGTCGAAAGGGCAGGACTTCCTATGGAACTTACATTTTTTCCCGAAGCTCCTTGTAAAGCTCCTGGTCAGAAAGAGGTGGGGATTTACCAATTTGAACCTCGAAACGGTAACGAGCTTGCTCATGTTTTAGTTCCTTAACCAATTCGCGCTTCTGGGATGTTCTTATGTCAAGCATTTGTGCAGCCAGCGGCACAGTCTTCACATATCTTGCCCCCAATACATGAGATGAGAGTCAGTTCATCAAATATGAATTCCAATTACTGTCAAGTTTCAGCTATAAATATTCAAAGAGGACTAGGAGTGCTAATATTCACAAAAGAAAATGAGCACCTGTCCAAAAAAGGCATAAGAACAAAATCATGAGCTAAAAAACTCAAGCTCCATGGAACTATAATCAACCCTGCCAAAAACTTAGCCTGCAACAAACAAGGAAGTACACATATCACACATAAATTAAAGTATCATATCATGTTATAAAGAATCATGCTTTACATTCCCAAAAAAAACAGAGAGAAGATTCTATTGAAGCGAATAAACCTAGACTCATACATGCAACAGCAGACTCAGGGTTTTGTTCTATAGAGAATGTCAATAATAATGCAAAGCAAAACACTGCAAATCAACAAATTGATGATGATCTGAAAGGGCATTCAACAAGCACATTCCGAATTAAATTTTTAATTGCATTTAGATCACACTGCTCAAGAAATATGATAACAACACAAGGGCAAATGCTTAAGAACAATACGAATGCAGTTACCGAATTGGAGGATGCATACTGAAAAACGCGATCTTCGTACAAAATTTCATCATCCTCCAGGCCAATAACCATAGCCCTAATAGATTTGACCATCCTCCTGAGAGAAATGGGGCCATCGTCATCATCATCATCCCCTATAGAACCCTCTCCAGGAATCCCATTGGAGCCATTATTGGAAGTTTGTTCCCAGGAAGAGCCATTGCCAAGTTCAACGGAAGCAGCGGGGTCCACAAGCCAGTCCTCCCACATCCTGTTCTCCTCGTTCCTAATATCCACCTGAGCTTCCCTCAGCTCAATAATGGCCTCCGCCCGTTGCTTCCAAGCTTCAAACTTTTCCTCCTCCGACAGCTCCCCGTTGCCAGAGCTGTTCAAGATCTCCTCGAATTCGAACTCGTCCGGCATATCTTCATCCTTCAGACCAAACCAATTCCCTTCCTCCCCTAAAACCCTCTTCCACCAGCTCCTCATCCACCTATCGGACCTCTTCTTGGCCTGAGGAATCAGCTTCTGGAATCTTCTCTTCCCGTAGAAGCAGCGGCAGCGGGTTAGTCGGAGCTCCGAACCCGGCAGAAACAAGCGGCGGGTGCTGGGAGTGGGTAGCCTCAGAGAGATTGGATTCGGGCAAGAAATTGATGAAGTTCTCATTAAGTAGGCGGCGTGCGGAGTTCCTCCAGCCTTCCCAGCATCTTCATCGGACGGAAGAAATCATTCAATCAAGAAATGGCTGCATTCTACTACAAAGTATAGGATAGCTTTTGGCTTGGAGAGTATCGCTTAGGTTCCGTTCTGTTATCTGTTATGTTATTGTGTGGTAAGAACTCCAAGCCAAAATTGCATTTGGGTATTCATCTTTTTGTAAAGCATGCTTGGTGACACTTCAACTTGAAAATCTTACTACCTTCCTCCTAAAACATTATGATTACTCCGTATTTAAGTTTTTTTTTTCAAATTATGATATTTTTTGTCATGAATTAAATATAATTTAAAATAATTAAATATTATAAAAAGTTGATATTCTAAAATTATATTTTAAAATAAACTTATTTTTATTAAATTTACATTATACCTAAATGGCTAAATATATGTTTTTTCATGATTAACATTCAAACTGTAGTAATCTTTCAGAGACAGATGGAGAATAACACAAGCAACTTTGGACGCTCAAACTTAGTTATTTTTTGCCTTGTTTTTCTCAACGTATCTACTAGGTAATTCTGATTTTATGATAAGAACTTACAATAAACAACAACAGAACTAGGGATATCCAACAATATTTTTTTACATTTTCAAAAAAAACAATATTTTTTTTACAATAAACATGTTATGCGTTACTTCCTCCGTTCACAAATTATCACGTTACACAGTATATATTTGAGTGAAAATATTTTAAATTTAATATTTTAGAAAAATGAGTCTAGATTTAAAATAAAAGTTACAGACCTAGAAGTTTTGGGAAACAAACACAAATTGACGTGACACTTTTATTTTATCAAATTCATAACAAAGATAACTAAAAAACAACAATCTGGTTGAATTTTGCAAAAGTAAGGTTTGGAGAAATGTGTGTACGACTGTACGCAGACATTATCTCTACTCGAAAGTAGAGACATTGTTCTTTTAAAGAGATACTCGGCTCAGTGTCGAAAGTTGCATCGATTAATTAATTGATACTTAATTAATTAAAGAAACACAAACACTTTACAAATACATTTCGCTTTATTTTATCACGCTCCAAAGCTAAAAATAGTAAATTTTTAGCTCCATCAGAAATACTGGCAATCAAAGATGGATAAAAAAAAGTCTATTGATATTAGCACTCAAAAGTTACTAGTTGCACTCCATTTTCTTTTTATAAATATATTGTTTCTCTAAAGTGCCCCTCGCCACTACATTTTTCGCAAATGATAATATGATGACTCGCCATATTATTCCATTTCTTTTATTCTTTGATTTAATCTCTCAAGTACCATTTCATTTCACTCACCATAAAATAATACAGAGTACCCTAGTTATCCAGAATATCCCAATTTTACTTTACTTTTTCAATCACTCTTCTCATTTTACTATTTTCATAGTTAATAACTTCAAGTATATGAGTATAAAATGAATGAATATTTGAGTAATTAACACCTTTCAATTATTCTCAAATTTATTTTTTTAATCTTAATTTTTTAATTGTAATATATTAATACAAATATTAAACAAATACAAATACAATACAAATAGAAATATACTCGATTCGGATGATATTCGAATATATGTATATACACGCAGACCATGTTTTCAACATCAATAGTTAAGCAAACTAAAATAGTATAAAGTGTATTTTAAATTTGTAAGAATTCGATAAATTAACGTAACACGAAAATATAAAGCATATAATTTTTAATAGTTATATTTTATAAAATATAATTTGCATCAGATGGAAATGTATTAATGTTTTAGATACGAAATATAGTATAGTATAAAGAGTATTGTAAATTACAAAACGATGTTGGTCATTATATAAATTACAGACTATAATAATTCAAATATTCATTTAAGATTCATTAACAAGTTGGATATTAATCAAATATATATTCAAATCTTATTTTGAATTCGTATCATATTCGAATTTGGATCCATATTCAAAAAAATTAAACAAATACAAATTCAAGTATCCCAGTATTTGCTTCGATTCCGTTTGGTTATAATAGGGACGAGCAAGTACCGAATTGATTCCAAAATTTTTCAAAAAAATCTGAGGTTACCGAATCAAAAAATATCAAAAGGAAAAAATGCCGAAAAAGAATCATACCCTACCAAACCGAATTCTAATGTAAGATAAACATCACTCCGTATTTTGACTCTCCAAGCCCTCTCAATTTTGTATTCTCCGTTCTTCCCTTTTAGTTTCATCACTAATATTTCGAAGAACTTCCAATCTAAAACCAGCTCTAGAAGCAAAGAACAATTTCAGAACGCTAATTTCAAAAGGCCAACCCCCTAAATTGTTCCACTTTGATCTGGAACTTCATCTGTCCTCTTTGATCTAGATTTTACTAGATATCCATCCCCCCCCCCAAAATAGTGGTCGTTGATATTAGTTCTCTTTAACATGAATCTTAATCGATTTCCATCCTCCCAAACTCTCTATTGAAGTTTCTAATACTTAGGGGTCTAATATTTTTAATTGGGGTCCTAAATAATACGTAGTATATCTATAAAAAAATTAAAAAATAAAAGTAAAAAAATAGATAAAAAAAAAGTAGTAGGGGGCATGTGACCCCCCAACACATATAAAGTACATCCGCCCCTGCTGGTTTGGTTTTTAATTTCAAAACAAGATCCTGAAACCAAGAAGAATTGAGATCTTGAATGGAGGAGAAACTTTGTCGCGGTTTCACCATCATCTAAAGATCCATCCAAAGGAAGATGAAAAAAATGAAGGGAGATAAGGCGCAAAAAGGAAGCAGGAGGAAAGGATGAAAAAAGAATTAAGCTAAGGGAACGCTGAAAAGGGGAAGACTAAAAATGGAGAAGATGAGAGGAAAGGAAAGCAGGGAAGAAAAAGAGACTTGGTTGGGTATGGGGAGAAAGTAAAGAGAAGAGGTAAATAAGTCTTCTTAGTACATACCCTGCACATATTGCGACGAGGCACAGTAAGGCGCGCGCCTCACGAACAGCGCGCGCATCAAGGTCGGCGATGCACTACTCCTGGCGCTTCGTGCACATTGCACCTCAGGCACGGGTGCGCTTTTCACAACTATTATTTTGAGTAATGTTTATACTCGATGTTTTATTGGTGCATTTAACTTGGGGAAATTACTTAAATAGGACTAAAACATAATGACTTTCTCAAAATAAGACCATATGTTTTTATTTACCAATGTAGGACCATTAGTCATTATCCATTAGTCATTATTCAAGTGAATGTCCACCATCACTGGACATTATTTCCTCCACTAGACATTATTAAGTACTATTTAGGGAATAAAAAAGTTTAAGTCCTACATTGAGAAATGACTTATGTTTTAGTCCTATTTAGTGCAAATTTCACTATCAACTTTGAAAAGCTAAACACTGGGTCAAAAGACTTGTACTAATCTCAGAGTAAATGCCGCAATGAATCAATCAAGGGACTAACAGAAAAATCTCTGGCTTTTTCCAACGCTAATGTTGTGTGCATCTTGATGTTTCAAACCCCAACACACTTAGGATTAGAATGGATTTTGGTGTTGATGTTGATACATCACCCAAAAACTTGATATGAATGTGTCTTAGTGTTAGATATCCGGGAGCATCAACGGAGACTTTCCTTAGCCCACAAAAGGAAAGACGGATCAGGGGAATAAATCCAAAGTGTGGTGACGTTATTAGGGTTGAATCCACTCCTTCGCCCTTCCCTAAAGCCCAAACCAACACCAGTGCTGTCCTACACCCCACCTAGGCCGAACCAACACCCCCCACATTCCTTCCCTAAACATCCAAAGTTCCTTGTCATTTAATTCCTTTCAAAATAATGTTTTCCTACACTTATTTTTAGCCTATGGAAAAAAATAAGAGTGTGTAAACCAAAACCTTTTGTTTGTTGTTATTTCCCTTTTTCCATTCTTTCTTTGGCCAAACTTAGGGCATCCCATGAACCCCATATCACCCCTAATACACCCCTGGCAGAAGTTCTTTGCATAAACCACAACCAAACAAAACACTTCAATTCCCTCATTTGAGAGCCGAGGATACCAGGCCAAAACCACTCCTTTATTTCACACAATAAACCCACCATTACCAGCCAAAACCCCTCTCTTATTCCATGTAAGAGACCAGCCCCTGTCCCCCCTTTTGTTCCCCAACAAAGCTGCACAGCCCTAGCCCACCACTAACTCAATCAACTCTCTCTTATTCTCTACATAAACACCCAAGAGATACCTCCAAAAGAATAGCCAGCCTCCCCTCTCTTTTACCCCCACTTGGCCGAGAATACATCACCCAAAAAACCAATCAAAGTATGGGTATTATTCACATAAATATTTCCCATGCACTAAAGGCCGAGAAAGGAGTTCCACAACCACACATCATCTCTGAATTTTCTCCCTACCTAGAAGACATGAGGGGCTGATGAATATTTGCTAGGAAGTTTCCTTTATGTCCCATTAATTGTATTGTGTGTTTCCCCCCCCCACTTTCCCCTTCATATATAATTCGGCCTTAGGGCCATGTTGTAAGGCAATTTTTTTTGATGAATTAAAACATTACTCTTTGAGTATATTTTAAATAGTGTGATGCTATTTAAGCCAAATTCCTAATTCTATATCTTAAGAGTGGTTATCTTAAGTGTGAGTTTTAGGTTCTAGATATTTAAATAAGTGTGTAATATCTTATTTGAATTCTAGATTCAAACCCCAAGTTAAGATAAGAGTGTGTCATATCTCTTAACACCAACTTGGTTTATCCCCTCCTATTTTATTCCCCCATTTCGTGCCTCCCCATATTCTCTTCCTAAACCTCTTCTTTTTCTTCATAAAAAAAACACCAAAAGAACTCCCCTTTTGCCCCATAATATTTCGGCCACCCCATTTTTCCCTCACCTCCTCATAATTCCTTCTCTAAATTAGCAACGTGATAAGACCCCGGGTCTCGGGTATAACACTTAGTACATGAGACTCAAGATTTAATAATAGGGAATCAGGCTCTCTGGCAATCCAATAATTTCTGTACAAATATTAAGATCAATAATGTAATTATCAGACAAAAACAGAATCAAGATTGATCCTTGTTTCATGTCATTTCAGATTTTTGAATAAATTATAGGCTGAAATGAAAAACACACAAAAAGGGATCAACCAACCATTGGCAACGCCATGGCTGCAAGCACATCATTCGAGTGTTGCCCCGCCAAGATACCGGCACCCATTGATTTCGCACCTAACATCTCGAGTTGAGAATTCTCCTCACGCTTTTTCATTCACTGGGGAACGAATAGTGGACAAAGCCCCAATACAAAAGCCATGGGGGCGAGCCCCCAATTGAAATGTATCCATTGGTCTTCCCCTTCTATTGCCTTATCGATTCTTCCCCTCGTTCCTTTCTATTGGGCCGGTAGATCAATCAGCTGAGAAGAAATGTAATATCATCACAACACCGATTAGCACCAAAGAGCCTAGAAATCACGTGTGTATGGGCTAAAGAGAGTAATTTGCGGGGGTTTCAGTCTCACTTTCATTTTTGAGCCGGGGTCTCTTGGAAACAGCCTCTCTATTTCAGTACTCGGTACTTCCTAGTACAATAGTAGTGGTAAGATTTGCATACACACCCTCCCTGGGCCCTACTTTTTGTGGGATTTCACTAAGCATGTTGTTCTCAATCTTCCCACTTCCATCATTTTTTTTCTTTTCATAGGGGGCTAATGGAAACAACTTCTATGGTTTTTTTCCAAAAGGTAATGTTGACAGTGAGTCATCATTGATACACACACACACACACATTTCATACGAATTCATCTTACTACATGAGGCTCAGACAACACACCATGGCTGCAAGAAAATAATTGCCATGCCAAGATAGTGGTGGTCGCCTCAAAAAAGTCTATCTTCATTTATATAATAGCAAAATGATCATCACTGCCTCAAGTTTGAATATAATGGTGTAAGGCATTCTGGTTATCCCAGAAATCCCAGAAAAATATGAAGTATATAGTCCCTCGGTCCCCAAAGAATTTGCATAAATGCATTGTAATAGCCGGAAGACCAAAAACAGAACTGTTGTTGATCAATGACCATTTAGGGCTGTTGAATTACAAGCTTGCCTTTATTTTGACAACTGTAAATATCATAGGGCTTTATTGAACACATAGCAAAGGGAGCAACCACCCTTCAAAACTCATTACCTTTTCTGTGTTACAAAAAACCTCTTGATAAACATCAAATCAAACACAATGTAAAATTGACTTCCCCAAAAATCATTCAATTGTGTATCATAGACATGCCTTGCATATGAATTAACTCTGTATGTAAATGCTAAAGGATATCAACACCGTTAATACTCATCTTATATGTGAAAATCGAATCAAAAGAGTGAGTGGTGGTAATTGCTGATACTTGTCTCAAACATGAAAAGCAGACCAAAAGATCAAAGATAAACACATCTAAAGGGGGTGTTTCATATTATCTGGACAGTTGAAATTGTTATAGAACCAACTCAATCAAAAAATCAACCTTTCGAGTATAAAATTATTCCTCTGCATCAAATAAATACTTAATTTTTGTTTGATAATGGGATGAACTGCCTTTGATTTCATTGTGTCTTAGCACATGAGGCTCAGATTACATTTTCCCTTTCAGAATAACAGCAGAGGCACAACCTATGGCTTCAAGGAAACAAATGCCACACTAATATAAGAGTTGCCTCGCCTCAAATATTTTTAATTTTATTTCTATTTTCATACACTTGTAAAACATAATAAAAACATCATCACAGCCTCAAATATAAATATTACGGTTCAGCATTATAGCAATTCATGTGTTTTTATGTAATTACTAATTAAGATTTGTACTCCCTTCACCTCAAAATAACATTATTGCATAAATGCAATGTAATCGTAGGGAAAAAACAGAATAAGAAAGCTCATCATTTTGTTGGTCTTTTGGGTTGTTGAATATATCATAGGCTGAAATGAACAACACAGAAGGGGAGCAACCACCCACTAAAACTCATAATCTCCTCAGTGTGTTCTAGAAAAGCCCTAATCTCTGCACGAAAATATTTCACAAGGGTACAAGCTGAAGCAAAGAACACTGAAGGTGTCGTATTGGAGAGTAGAAAAAAATACCTGTGGAAAAATGATGAATTGTCAAAGAAGATGCTAGAGCCAAATGGAGGCACATATGGGGGATAATCTGACACCGCCATGGCTGCAAACACATAAAATGCAAGTTATTTTCCATGTTACCCCGCCAAGATACAGCCAGGTTAACCTCAGTGCCCGATCAGTCGGCTTACATTGTTAGAAATATATTATTTTGTGACTTGTTATTTTCTCTATGTGTTAGAAATAATAACACAAAAATATTTCAAGTGTTAAGTATTTTATGCATTTTGTTGAAAAAGATTTCTCAACTTTAATACACATACTTTATAAATTAATATTATCCCAAAAATATTATTTCAGAAAATCATACCTGATTAACATAATAGGGAAGTGTTTAAGGACTCCGGGGTTGTTCGTGCATACAAACGAGATATTGGGTACATTTGTGACTTCGCAATTTTGCCAATGCCACCCTCCGTCACTCTAATTGAACCAGTGAACATGTTTTGATGGATCCTTCTTTCACAACTTATAGTTTACGTAAATTGTTCTTGGGAAGAAACGACGTACGTGATACTAAAATTTTTGTATTCCACTGCATAACGAAATGTATCTTTCCAACAAGCACATGAGGGCATGAGGCTCAGATTCTTATTTTTTTCTATCAGAAAAACAACAGAGGCTCAACCTATGGCTTCAAGGAAACAAATGCCACGCCAATATAGTGGTAACCTCGCCTCAAAGTTCTGTTTTTAATCTACTAATATACAAAGCTAATGGGAGAAAATGAATAGTAGATTTTCCCTCCAAAACGAACAAGCCAATATGAGGGTACGAAATGATGGCCAACCTACATGGTAAGCGTGAGCATGGGAAATCCAAATTGATGATGGTTAATGGCATTCGAAAAGACAAATCAATAAAGTAAAGTTCACTTTATTGGTTAGTGAAAAAAGTATTTTCTTGCATTAATTGTCTTTACTTTACTTAGTAGCTTCTTCTCTCATATAAATTAGGGCTTCTCTCTCATTCAATACCCCAAAATCTTTACTCTCAAAAATTCTCTCACCCAATTTCGAAAAAATGGCTTCAAACCGATCATCTATATCTTTGGGACATGGTGGAAGACTTGAGTCAAACTGTGGAGAAGGTACAAAAAACACTATATGTTACTTATACCAGGCTAGGGATTAAAATTAACATTTTGAAGTTTTTTGTTTAAAAAAATAGATTGGTTCAAATGAGATGTTTGGGAGTGAAAGCAGTTCGTCAAGTCCACGAAGGAGATATTGATTGAACTAGATGATTCAATCAAGAGGAGATTGTTTGATGAATCTTCAACAACCAAGTCCGAAAAAAAGCTCAAATCTATCAAGGTGGAGAAATGAGAGGCAAAAAAAGGATGGAGAATGTGCTTTTGCACTGGGCGATTAAGTGATTTTTGGAAATTTAGAAAATGCAATTCAAGCACTAATCTCTCATCATGTCCTCTCAAGTACTTAATTACAGTTTTAATTTTGTACTAAAACTTTGTGCTATGTACGGTTGGCTTTTGTCCGTTCTTTATTTTGTTCAAACTCATTTTGTACCAAGATGGTTTTAATCCTATGTTTCCTAAGTATTATCTTAATGTCGTTTCTTTTACTTATTCCAAATATGTTGCAATGATATTTGCTTATATTATTATAATGGATATAAGGTTTCAATTAAAAAATAATGGAAATGTTGGAATTAATTGTCGTTTATACTGTTGAAACGTGAGAAATCAGAATTTAAAATTCGAGAAATACTAAGTTCAAATGTGCATTTTGATTTAGTTCCTATGTTAGATTAAAATGTACTCCTAATCTACATTTCAGATAAACTCCATAGTTTTTTAAATCAAATTTATCATGAAAATTTAATAAATTTGTAAAAAATATTTTCGGATCAACTTTTTTTCTTAAATCAAATATATGAAAGACTAATTTTTAGAAAAAAATACAGACAATCTACATCTTAGATTCAATTCGTGACTTATCACTTAAAAAAAACTAAGATGCATCCAAGTTAACTTTAAATTCTGGCAAAAACTAGATAATATCTGAATTCTTAAAAAATTGGAGAAAAAAATTGTAAGATGCATATAGAAGATAAAAAACCTGTTGAGAACTTCGAATTTCAAGATGAAGTCTTTAGATCTGGCTTCATGCGATCTTTTTTCTCTGAGGTTGTGTTCAGTGCCAGACGCACCTAATTGGAGTTGGGGGCATATGCTCCTTACTAATTTTTGTTATGAGGTAAAAGTTTTGTTTAAAATTTTTTTATGTACATATGCCCCCAACAAAAATTAATGAGATCCCATTTAATCAAGCTAAATTAATTTTTTTATTGATTTTTTAGAAGATGATGAACTTGCCATGGAATCGTGTTGGAATTGCAAAAATCATTGGGGTCATTTGAGGTGTCTTCGCATTGGTCGCATTGAAAATTCTTGGGACTATTTCCTTTGTCATCCGTGTTTTGCACAATTGCTGGAACCAAGTTCTCCGATCGACCCAGACAAGACGTTCAAAGAGAATCAAAAGACCAAATAAAAATATTTATAATTCCGGTTTCATTGTTTATTACGGAGTAACATATATTATATTTGAAATTATGATTCCCCTTTTTTGTCATGTGTAATGGAGAAAGTTTACAAAAAATGTAGTTTACATAGAAGTATTTCAAACCTCTAATTTCACTCCTTTGTTCCACTATTATTAACCAACATTACGATGTAATCTATGTAATCTTTATATTTCATATAATTTAGCTTTGTTTTCTTATATACACGATTAATTTAATATATTAATCTTAATAACTGTTTCAAACTACTGACCGTGCATTGCACGGGTTAGGATACTAGTTTTTATAAAAAAACACAACAAAAACATAATCACAGCCTAAAATATACCCCGTAAATATTATGGTTTCAGACATTCTAGCAATCCTTGGATTTCTGTATTATGAAGATTATTGCTCCCTCCATCACAAAGTTGGTGTGGACATAGCATGGTTGATGTAATAATAGGATCAAAACAGAACTAAGAAGATAATCTTCATTGATCTTTAGGGTTGTTGACTAACCATAGGATTCTTAGGCTGAAATCAAGAACATATAGAAGAGGAGCAACCACTCATTGAAACTCATCATCTCCTCTATGCATTCTAGAAAAGCCTAAATCTTTGACCCAAAAATGTTTCATAAGGACGGAAGCTGCAGCAGAGAATACTAAAGATGTAGACTTGGAGAGTAGGAAAAGAAATACCTCACTGTGGAAGGGCGGAAAATTGTGGAAGAAGAGGCTAGAGCCCAATGGAGTCACATATGTGGGATAACCATGGCTGCAAACACACCAAATGCAGGCCCCTTCGGAGTTTTGTTCCGCCAAGAAAAACCTAGGTTATCCACAGTGCTTGAGGCAGCATATGCACCAAAGAACTTTGAAATCAGGAGTATGAGTAAACTGCATGTGCAGTTATCCCACACACACATGCTTCAAGTTCATTCCTTTCTCCAAATATCCACTCGCGCCCCTCAACCTTGACTGAGTTACATGTCAACTGAAGACATGCACACGCACACGCACAGACACGCACACAGACATACATACATAATGCATACATACATAGATACATAGATATATAGAGATAGAGGGCTGTTGGTTACAAACTTTTATGGAAACAAGCTGACATAAGGGATCAACCACCCTAGAAAAACCCCAATCTCATTCTCGAGATCTGCAGTATCGTTTGTTCTTACTACTTTCTCACACTGTAAGAAATGGAGTGCAATGCGTAAATATAGGGTTTATTTACCTACTCATTATAAGTTGAACAATTGAAATACCCTAATTTTATATGGTAAGTTGGAACTAATCAGATTAGATGAAAAGAATGAAGGCTATAGCCATATAAAAGCACATGGGATAATTTGACACCGCCATGGCTGCAAACACACGAAACACGGGTTCTGCCCCGCCAAGATACGGCAAGGTTAACCCCAGTGCGTGATCAATCAGCTCTAGAAGAAGTCAAATGCCATCACAGCCCCTATGCAGCCATCACCGCTGGCGGCGGCAGGGTGCAATCAAAAACTTTGAAATGGCGGGTATATGTGACTGCACGCACAAACACATACAAATACGTACTTATATATACACACACAGGAGTTATTGTTGTTTCCAACGAGAGATAGAGGGATGTTGATCATAAACACTTTCGGAAATGGGCTAGCAAAAGGGATCAACCACCCTAGAAGAAACCATAATCTCATTCTTGAGATCTGCAGCCTCATTCTTACTTAGGCATTCTTGTTATCCCAGAAAAAATAACTTTATACTCCCTCTGTCTCAAAAGAAACAATAGTATCAATAATAATTGGATAAATGCAATGTTAAAGCCACAAGAGCAAAGTTAGAATTAACTCTAATTGTTGATCAATGACCATTTAGGGCTGTTGAATTCCAAGCTCTCCTTGAATTTGGCAATTGGAATAATCAAAGGGCTGAATTGAACACAGAAAAGGGAGCAACTGTCCTTGAAACTCTTGAACTTTTCTGTGTTACATTAAACCCTCTTGAATACATCAAATCAGCCAGAATGTAAAATCGGGTGTTTGCTTTTCTTCGCCAAATATCTTTCAGGTGTGTATTCTGGACACCCCGCATATGAATTAACTTTGTGTGTCATGGTATGCAATAATGTATCCTATAAAAACAGGTTCTCCTCATATTAGATGTGAAAATCAAATCAACAGAGCAGTGACTAATACTTGTCTTGGACATGAACTGACCAAAAGTGTTTCAGGCACATCTTCCAAAATATAGAGATAATAGAAGATCTGTCGGATAGTGTTAAAGACTCAACCTTTAGACCAACCTTTCAGTTAGATTAAAACTATTCCTCAGCCACCAAAAAAACTTGATTTTTGTTTGAGAATGTGATATAGTTATGAAACACCTTTGATTTCATTCTCTTAGTACATGAGGCTCAGAATAACAGCAGAGACAACCTATGGCTGCCAGAAAACAAATGCCACGCCAATATAGGCCTTGCCTCAAAGATATGTTTTTATTTTTATATAAAACATAATAAAAACATCATCACAACCCCAAAAGTGAAAATTATGGTTACTAGCATTCCGGCAATGCATGCATTCCTGTAATACGAAGTATTATGACTAGTACACCCCCGTCACAACTCTCAAAATAACCAAAATTGCATATATGCAATATAATAGTCGGATCAAAACAGAACTAAGAGTGATCATTGGTGTTTAGGGTTGTTGAATTAATCATCAGCTGAAATGAAATGAATAGAGCAAAATTGAAGCTAATCGGATCAGATGAATAGAATGGAAGTTAATCAAATCACACGAAGAGAACACACTCTTAGTATTATAGTGAGGTTTGCGGATGGTACATGTCATACATCACACGAACATTTAATAAAAATACATCTTATTTCATGAGGCTCAGTCGCTCAGATTACATTTTAGCAATCAAAAATAACACAAGGACATTTCACCATAATGGCTGCAAGAAAACTGCCACGCTAAGATAGTGGTGGCCTGAAATAATCGGACTTCTATTATATAATACGAAATGATCATCACTGCCTCAAGTTTGAATAGTATGGTTTTAGGCATTCTAGTTATCCCAGAAAAATCACTTTCTACTCCCTCCGTCTCAAGGGCATTAATAGCAATTGCATAAAGCCAATGAAATAGTTGCAAGACCAATGACAGAATTAATTGTAACCATTGATCAATGACCATTTAGGGGTGTTGAATTACAAGCTTCCCTTGAATCTGGCAACTAGAATAGCCACAGGGCTGAATTGAACACATAAAAAAGGGAGCAACCACCCTTGAAACTCATTCATTTTTCTATGTGTCACATTAAACCCTCTTAATAAACATCAAATCAACCACAATGTAAAGTTGGTTAATACTTGTCTTAGGAGCTGTTTGTTTCAGCCTCTTAATGGTTCAGATGTCTGAATGGTTAAGAGATTTGCCTCTGAATGGTTAAGTATTATACAGAGTCTGAATGGTTAAGACCTCTTATCTGAATTGATCAGACATTTGCCTCTGAATAGTTAAGCAATATACTAGCTCTTAATGGTTCAGACCGGTTCAGACCTCTTACTGGTTCAGCACTTACCCGTTCAGAAGTTGCCAAACAACCCCTTAGATTTGAAAATCAAATCAAAAGACTGAGAGAGCAGTGGCTAATACTAGTCTTAAACATGAAAATCAGATCATAAGAACGGTGTTTCAAGCACATCTTCCAAAATATAGAGTAAATAGAAGATCTGTCGGAGAATTTTTCATTTTTGGAATTTTTTACAACCACTCTAAAAATTCATCTACGGCCTTACTTGAACATGATCTGTTCTATAGGTTGTACATCTAAATCCAGATATTCATCTAAGATAAAACCACTAGTATGTTGTGTTTCATAGCAAGATAATTGAAACTGTTAAGTAACCTTTAGATCAACCTTTCGATTGGATATAAAACTATTCCTCAGCCTCCAAAAAAACTTGACTTTTGTTTGATAATGGGATGAAACGCCTTTGATTTCATTGTCTTGGTACATGAGGCTCAGATTACATTTTCTCTGTCACAATAACAGAAGAGACAACCTATGGCTGCAAGAAAACACATGCCACGCCAATATAGGTCTTGCCTCAACGATATGTTTTTTATTTTTAGGTAGAGCATAATGAAAACCTCATCACAGCCTCAAAATATCCCAAAATTGAATAACCAACAGCGATGTACTAGTCGGACCAAAACAGAAGTAAGATTGATCATCGTTTCATTGGTTGTTGCATTAATCAAGTTTTGGAGATGGTGATATAGTCTTGGAGGGCAGAAAAAAAGAAATACCTGAAAGTAGATGAACGATGAATTGGAAGCTAATCTGACCAGAAGAAGAGAATGGAGGCTATAGCCAGATGGAAGGACATATATGGGATAATCTGACACCGCCATGGCTGCAAACACACCAAAGGAAGGTTCTCTTTCGAGTGTTGCCACGCCAAGATACGGCTAGGTTAACCGCAGTGCCCGATCCATCGGCTCCAGAAGAAATTGAATGCCATAACAGCCCCACTGCAGCCATCATCGCCGGCGGCGGCGGCGGCGGTATGCACCCAAGAACTTTGAAATCGCGGGTATGTGTGAGCTGCGCGCGCATACACACACACGTATACATACATATATACATACACACACAAACACGGTGTAATCCGTTGTTTTCAACGAGAGAGAGAGGGCTGTTGATTATAAACTCTTTAGGAAATAGGCTCGCAGAAGGGATCAACCACCCAAGAAAAAAACCCTAATCTCATTCTTGAGATCTGCCGCCACATTCTTTGCACGGTCGTAACGGTTGGTTTTATACCTAACCCAGGTTTAGTGCTACAAAGCCAACTTCATCGTTCATTACGGGTTATTTAAAATATTTAAAATATACAAAAATAAAAAATTTATATTTTTTTTTGAAATAAAAGTTAAATATATTTACATTACAATCATGATGATCATATACAATAGGTAAAATACATGTGTATAATAACATATTATTGCAATGTGAATTCCAATTTAGAAATAAAAACATAAAATTCTTATTTTTGATACATTCTATGTGTTTTAGTCCTATTTAGATTAATTTTTCTAAATTTAGCAAATCTTGGTTCGAGATGTTTGGTATTGCTTAAATTGTTAAAAAAAGTAATTATTTTAATCACATAATTAAAAAATATTTTTGAAGTACTTTCTTAACTTATGTTTTCTATATCTTAAAACTAAAAATTCAAGAATTATACCGTTGTGGTCGGTCCATTATTTGGGATCGATTTGAGATAACTTCTCATATTGAAAAATTTTGCACCGAACATATATACAAATATGTTATAAAAATAACAATGTTTTTATATATCTTCATTTGAAAACAAATTAATTTTAAAAAGTTGGTTCAAGCGTAGATGAATTACAAATAATCTTTTATTTATATAATCATTTATTCGACTTTTAATTCTGTGTAGATGAATATAAAAAAATTAACAAACATTTGAAATGCTATTTTGTTATCATTTATTCTCTTTCGTTTGTGAAGTATGAAGTAAAAGTTAAACCAAGTTTTATAAGTACTTTTACATTTTATTATTCACTTTTTAATTGTTTATCTTTCTTTATTTGAATGTACTTTTAATTTTTATAAAATAAAAAGTCTTGTACATTCCAAAGTGTAAACTAGGTAGATATATATTACTCCGGTATCTCATGAAATCGAATATATCAAACCATGCCTTGCTAGCTCATCCCGAACCAAAATAGTTAGTAGGATATCTATACTAACCAAATTAGGGGTGAACATGTACCGAACTGATACCGAAATTTCCTAAAAAAACCGAGAATATCAAATCGAAAAATATCGAACCAAAAATGTACCTAGAAGGAACCGAACCGTACCGAACCGAATGATCGGTATGGTATTTGGGAACGATAAGAGGTGACGTCCCATACCGAAAATCCCGAACCAAACATATATACTAAAATATTATAAAAAATAATACCCCGGAGTAATATACTATTTTTATATTCCTTCACTAAATAATAATTTTTTAAAAAACTGGTTCAAGTTCTATTATGTGTAAATTATAATTTTATTTGGGTTTTAGTTTTTGTGTATGAACATAAACGTATTCACAAAGATTTGAAATACTCCTTTGTTGTCGTTCATTTTTTTAGTTTGTGAAATAAAAACTAAGTTTTGATACGCATATCTTCCATTTAAATATTCATTTTTTTAATTTTTTATATTTTTTATTTAAATTCACTTTTAATTTTCAAAAATAAATGGGCATTGCTAAATTTTAAGGTGTAAAGTAGGTATGTATATTCATCCCGATTTGTATCGAAACCGATACCGAATCATCTCGAACCATACCGAACCGATATTTTGAGATCGGGATCGGTACTGAGTAAAATCCCATACTGAACCGAAATATTTGGTACGGTATCGGTACAAGCTAAATACCGTACCATACCGTACCATGCTTAGGGGCTGTTTGGCAACTTCTGAATCGGTAAGTGCTGAACCAGTAAGAGATCTGAACCATTAAGTGCTGAACCAGTAAGAGGTCTGAACCATTAAGAGCTAGTATATTGCTTAACTATTCAGAGGCAAATGTCTGATCAATTCAGATAAGAGGTCTTAACCATTCAGACTCTGTATAATACTTAACCATTCAGAGGCAAATCTTTTAACCATTCAGACATCTGAACCATTAAGAGGCTGAAACAAACGGTCTGAACCATTAAGTGATGAACCATTCAGTCTGAACCATTAAGAGGCTGAAACAAGCAGCCCCTTACTCCTCAAAGTCCTGAACCAAATGCCTTGCCAATAAAATACAGGCCGAGGAGGGTAAAAGGAAAAAGGATAAAACTTGGTCCCAAGTCCCAACCCTCAATCGTTCGAAAGAAGGCAGCGCAGCTAGAGAGTCCAAACCCCAGCCTCAGTCGTCCCTCCGCCGCCGGCCACACTGTGTCGTTCCACCGCCACTTCCACCACCGGCCAAGTCATTCGTTCTCCACTCTCAAGTCTCCAATCTAAAAGGTAAGCAACTACTAATAATTTTCAATTTTAGGAATTAATGTGTGATTTTTTTTTCATTTTATTTGAGCATTTTGCTAATTCTTATGAATTCAGATCTTATAAGTTCTAGCATGTGATGTTTAGACATCGATCTTGCAATCGGCTGCTCTCTCTCTTATATATTCCGTACTGCCTAACTAAGCTCACTGTGAGATGATCAATTTGCAATATGCAGAGACAGTATAACACCCTTGCAACCCAAATTATGAACCGCATAATATAAATTTGTTGAAAAAAATGAGTCTAAAATAAAGTTCAGTATAAGGAACTGCTTGACTCCTGGTTTAGTGGTATATCCGCAAGAAAACAGAAGACAATCCCATCTTGCATCAAAATATTCCATCCCAATCTAAACTAATTTCTTACATTTGTTGGTTCCATCATCCAACTGGGTTGTTGTTGTTGTTGTTGTTGGTTCCATCATCCATGGCATGCTAAATACTCATTATCAACTTATGGAAGGAACCCATACTATGGCCTTGTTTGGAAGTTGGATGTTTTGTGTCAGCTATTCTGAATGACTATCCTGAATGGTTGATTAGTTTAGCTTATTTGATCTGCAGTTAGATGTTTGCTAATACTTCCTCCGTTTGGATTTAATCTTCTCCTTTCTCCGTCGAGATCTAATCTTCCCATTTCTCACATTCATGTATGTTTGGACAAAAACACCCTCCCCTTTTTCTCTGTTTGGATTTAATCTTCACATTTCTCATGTGTAAGCATTTTTTGTGAGGGTTTTTTGGACAAATCTGCCCCATAGCCAACCTCCTTTAAAAATAAGGAAAAGTCAATTTCCATTGTTTGAGTTCCACCCACGCGTTTAAGAGGTTGAGATTATAATGTTGTACATATACTAATGGGTATGAGAGCCACACAAAAAAGAAATGCACTGAAGAAAACACTAGGAGATCAAAGTCTAACTAGAAATTATAACAAACTCTTCTAATTTATTTGAAGAGTTATATCTGGAATATTTAACACGTATGAACCTCTTTTAATGAGAAGAGTACATAATTGTGCAATTGCATAGGTAATTACTTTGTTTTTCTTTGTTTGGCAGAGTAGTCCAAAGTCCAAATAGCGACGACAAGTGAAGCGCTTGCCACACCAAGAAGAAGCACGACGTCGTGGAATCCTCATTGGCGTGAGGTGCAAAGGGGGTTAGGTTTTCAGGCAAGCAAGGAAGATGAAGCCGATGGTGGGGGTTGTAGTGTCGAATAAGATGCAGAAGTCGGTAGTGGTGGCCGTCGACCGCCTCTTTCACCACAAGATCTACAATCGCTACGTAAAGCGCACCTCCAAGTTCATGGCCCACGACGAGAAGAACGAGTGCAACATTGGCGATCGCGTTCGTTCTCTTTCATCCTTTTTCTAAACCATAATATTGCCATTTTTTTACTTGGAAATTCGTCTGTGTTGGGTAGAGCTAGAGCTTTAATTTATCTATTCATTTTTGAATTCTATGGTAAATGATGCGTGATGAGTTTGGAGACATTGTCTCCGATTCATTTTGTTTGTTTATATTTGGCAGATTTGTGGTAGCCTAGTGCATTGAAATGGGGAAGATCATGTAAAGTGTTTCCACAATTCCCCGATTCGCTATGTTTTTTTGGGAAGAATTGTGGCAGCATTGTGTGCTGAAATGTGCATGATTTGGATGTTACTTTAGAAAGATTAGTTTTTTGAAATGCAACATCTCAGAATTTCACGATGCAAAGATCGAGAGCACAGATTCCATTGTTATTCCTTTTCCGGAAGATGTGATTGCTTTTCTCCTTTAAATGTGTTTATCATGAGTTAACCAGTTAAACAATGTTGTGCTCTGCTATGTTTTTTTAATAAATCTCATTGATCAGCAACATCTCTTTGAAATGCGTCATTTGTTAAGTATATCCTCTTATTTTAACCAGGTGAATCCAATCTCTGTTTTCCTTGATGCCATTATTCGAAATCAATGAGATGAGTGGAGCCCTTGCTTTCGGTTTTTTATTGTAAACTGCTTGCAATGTCACACTCGATGCACCTATTTGTAAACGTGTAGGGAAAGCAAAAAAAGATGATTTTTTTTACATGAAACCGATATTACAGGTCAAGTTGGATCCTTCTAGACCTCTGAGCAGGCATAAGCACTGGATTGTTGGTGAAATTTTGAAGAGAGCAAGAGTTTATGTGCCTCCATCTGCAGAAACATTGGCAAAGACTAACGCAGAGACTGAAGCGTCTGTTTCAAAGAGAACGCCATCTTCACCTTCAAAGAAATAAGGTCTGTCTTAAATCGAATGTGTAATGTTGATTTTGATGCTTTGCACCTTGCCTTTTCCCCGTGCGAATTTGTTTTAAGGTTAATACTTTTCCGAATAATGTCATTTCCTGAGAAATGAGAATTGATCTGCTAGAAAATAGAAAAAAGTTGTTTTACTCATTACCCCATCCATCCCATATTTATTTTCCCACTTTCTTTTTATGAACGTCCCAAATTAAAGCTTGTGTTCCCTTTAAGAAATGAATTGTGTTCGGATTTTTTCTATCCCATGTTCATAAATTTCAACCGCTCAAGTTCATTTTTTCTTGAACTGCATGAAATTATAACTGAGTAGTTAAATATGGGATGGAGTATTTCTTTAAAGTCACATTTCTGAAGTTTCCTTTTGGGGAAAAGAATTTGTGGCTAACAAAATCTAATCCCACACTTCCTACTTTTGAACACTTTTCTTCAACCTTTGTGAAGTCAAAGAGTGACTTTATTTTGTGGGAGGGAAGAGTATATAAGTTTCATTGACTTGTTTACTAAGTATGGGAAGAAATTGGCAATGAATTTGGGACGCCTTAAAAATGAAAAAAAATGGACAACTAAATTGGAAGAGATAGAGTATGTTGTTAAAATGCATTTGTATGTGATTGATAGTCTTTGTCTGTGATTTGAGTCCACAAGGGAATAGAAGCCTTTGGAAGTCAGTTTTCTATTGTGTTCTGTTTACCAGGTCAGGTATGTAGTAGAGGTGCAGGCAAGGTCCAAAGAGCCACACATTTGCACCAATGATTCCAAGATTGCCCTCTCTTTGGCATGGAGACCAAGTCCAAACATGTATTCCAAGACGAGAAATGGAGTGTTTTGCTGCCATTGTACTTCAGAATCCCTTTCTTGAAACCATAATAATAATAATAATAATAATAATAATAATAATTAGGGTGATGCTAAATCCACCCCAAAAATGGCTATATCCACCCCTTTCACATAAATTTGCTAAATCCACACCAATATAAACTTTATATTAATGGATGTGGATATAGCAAATATTGGTAAAAGGTGTGGATATAGCCATTTTGGGGGCTGGATTTAGCAACACCCTAATAATTATGAAGAACCCGTATTTACGTCCTATGTATACTCGGTACAAAAACTGCATGTTTTTTCTCACTTTAGTCTTATACTTTTTCCCTAAAGTGTGTGTTTTATTACTAAAATCTTCATAAACTTGCAAGGTACAATTGATGTGGGTGGGTGGATGGGTTGGAATCAGGAATGGATGGGGGTTTTATGGGGGTTACTGAAATAGAAACTATCAATTTTACAAAGAGAACATCGTAGCTATTCAGTGTCCTCTGTGGTCACTCTAAGAGAGTGAGCATTAACCCAACCTATTTACAAATAACACTTACCAACTACTTCGTACGTTTTACACTCGTTGAAAATACTTTTGAAAAATGTTCACTCTTTTAGAATTATTTCTAACCCATGTTGGTGACTGCTAGGCATGGAAATATAGGGAGGACGAAATAGAGTTATGCAGGGATCACTTGGAAGGGATGCAAAATTAGCCTTAAATCATATCCGAGTGCCTCTCTCAACCGTCATTTACAAGTCAAATTTATCTTTTTCACATTTACCATCTTACTTGAATGTCCATAGTCTGAACCTAAATGCAGATATTAATTTCTCCCACCATCCCAAAAAGAGTTCTTGTTGTTTACGAGACTTGACTACTAAAGTTATTTTTAATTTAATTTATTCAAAATTGGGATGGAATTAAAAAAATAAATTTATATATTACTTCTTTATAGTGCATGTTCATAATTCACAAGATTAAACTTCATTCATTTTCTTTCTCTATTTTCGTTAGCAATTTGATAAAATAAAGTACTATTGTCACTACTAGTTTTGTAAATCTTTTGATGTAGTATTTTAATCTGTAATTTTATTTTTTTAACTCTACCATTTGTCATATAAAATGATTTGAAAATAATTTCAGTCAAACATCATAACCCAAAAGTCACTATAAATTGGGACGGAGGGAGTAGAAAAGTACATTAAAAATTCAACAAAACAAGAAGTAATAAAACTATACTAATTTCTCAAATGAGTAACGAAAATGGATAAAAAACGTGGTTAACATTTGACCAAGACAACTTAAACTGGGACAGATGGAGTATGAAACAAATCATTTTCGTACATTCATTTTCACAATGCTGATAACAAGTGGTGCAAAATTGTTTTACAGTTACAGATTCATGGAAAAGAAGATGAAGGAGCTGTAGCGAGAGACATCACATGTTATCGGAGTTGGTTTGTCCAGTTGAAAGGCTCCCAAAGTTTGGCAAAACTTGCAACAGCATGTTTCTGTGCCTCCACAGATTCGTGTCTCCTACTGCGGTGCATATCCTCTGGGGGCAGCTTCAGCATGCCTCTGATCACATTCAGACCAAAACTGCTTTTGAAATCTTTCTCATCGTCGATGACGTGGACGAACCCCCGGTCCAGACCAAACTCCACGTGGAAGTACGGGAAGTCCTTGGGGATTGAAGCCCGCAACCCTTTCACACTTGTGTCAATTAGCTTCTTCGCGTTGTGTTGGCTCCATTCGTCTTCTGCCTCGTCAATGGCCTGAAATCAAATTTGTTGGTTAGCTTGTTCTGAAGACCCTTCTATCTGAATAAAAAGCATGAATCAAGCAAGACATAATAGAGCTCTACAAGTTCGAGACCATTTTTTGTCCCAATATCCTAACTTACAGTCCAACACCAGAAAGAAACTTCTATCTTTATCTTTTAAACATGACTTTAACTTTATTTTTATGGTGTAATAGTTGTAAATGGTGTAGGACTCTTCTAGAGTGACGAGGTCATGCTCATGAGGTAAGCACCCATGATGTTATACCTTGACTAAATAGGACTTAGCTTCTTATACGGAGTATATTTTTGTGTATCCTGCTATTTGAGAAGTATGAAATCCAACTATCAGAGTGTTCATCAGCTTTATTTCCAACATTAGATTTCGCATTGTGGTGACACTAAATCCACTCCAAAAAAGGCTAAATCCATTCCTTCCTCTGAATTTGATAAACCACTCTCACACTCATAAATTTGATATCTGTCATCTAGAGTGGATTTAGCAAATTTGGACGAAAAGAGTAGGATTTAGCCATTTAGGGTGTGAATTTAGTCACACCCTTTCACATTTATAATAATAATAATAATAATAACAACAACAACAACAACAACAACAACAACACCAACAACAACAACAACAACAACAACAATAATAATAATAATAATAATAATTTGAAATCCATACTAATAATAGTTGGGTGACATCAATATTTTCTACTCAAGACACTTTCAAAATCCCAGTTTCTAAGCCATCAATATAAAACTACAGGTTGAACTTTGTTAAAACATACTCCCTCCGTCCAAATTCAGTTGTCCACTTTCTTGTTTTGATCCATCCGGAATTAGTGGTCCACTTTCCATATTCAATAAAGAAATTATGATGAATTTTCTAAAATATACTAGAGATAGGGCAACAACTTTGTTGACATAAATGAGTGGCAAACTCATTTGAAGGACTTAATTGACATTTTAAACTCATTTTTAAAAAGGAACTTTTTATAAAGTGGAAAACTAAATCCGGACAGAGGGAGTATGATAGAGGAAACTTCATTCCTCATCGATGCTCTAAAAATTCCCGCTGAGCTCCACCTAGGCCCCCACCTAGGCGTTCCAGACATCCCCAGCCGCCTAGGCCTAGATTAATCACCACCCAAATGCGCCTATGTTAAATCCCTGGATGGCTCCACCAAAAATCCCAACTCCTCCCAACATATCCAAAAGTCTTTTATCTCTTCTTTTATCCCAAAATAAAGCCTTTACCATATATTTTAATCCCTGGTCAATAATAAGAAACCAAAACCTTTTTTTTTGTTGTTATTTTCCTTCTTTTAAGCCTTTTAATAAACAAATGAAACCTTCTCTCCCTTCCTTTCATTCCCTGGCCAAATATACCTCACAACCCAACACACCACCACACCCTTTGAACCCCACAATTGTCCTTCCATTAAATTTACACCCTTAAGGCCAAAACCACTCCTAATAATAGCCTAAATAAGCACTCCCTTACCCCCATATACTGGCCGAAAATAACCTGTCAAAAACCCCCCATTGTGTCCCTCAACTAGGCTAAATAAACAGCCACTAAAATCCAAGACACATTGACCCACACACACACCAATCCACCCTCCTTCGTCTCCCCCATATCCTGCCTAAGAAATGCCTCTAAAACAGCCAGCCCATCTCCCTCATTTAACCCTTTCCCTGTCCATAATTATTTCCCCCAAAACCCAATCAAATAAGTGAGATACATTCACCTATCCTTACCATTCACTACTGGCCAAAACACCATCCACACAAGTACAACTTATCCCTGATTTTCTACCCACCAAAGGGACAACAACAAGTGGAGGTCATGCTATTGATTTAGGAGAAGAAGATAGGAAGTTTCCTTATGTCTACATTCAATGTATTGTGTATTTCTTCCCCCTTCCCCTGCCTATATATAATCAGGCCTTATGGCCATTGTAACACAACTTTTGAATATTATAAATCTTTTACTCTTTGAGTATTATTAAAATAGTGTGATGCTATTTTAGCCAAATTCCTAATTCTATATCTTAAGAGTGGTTATCTTAAGTGTGAGTTTTAGGTTCTAGATATTTGATTAAGTGTGTCATATCTTAATTAAATTCTAGATTCAAACCCCAAGTGAGGCTAAGAGTGTGTAATATCTCTTAAACACCAACTTGGTTTATCCATCATTACTTTCTATCCATTTCTCTTCCCACCATTTCTATCCTTAATCTCCTTTCTTTCCTTATATTAAAAATACCAAAAGAACTCCTTCATCATCCCCATATTTTTCCAGCCTTTCCCCACACAAACACCATCATTTCGTTCCCAGAAATCTGCCAAAATAATCGATTATCCTTGTTAACAATCGATTATCAATCCTCCGTCAAAACACCTGCGTGCGTCGTTAATCGATTATCACCCTCGGCAATCGATTATCATACATCAAGGGAAACTCCTGCAGTCCTCTATAATTGATTATCACCATACCGATAATCGACTATTAGCCCATCCTGAAAATCCAAGAAACTGAACTAGCAAATAATCGATTATCTAGACTAGATAATCGATTATCCTTCTATCCTGAGAATCGAAGAACTTTGTTTCTTGAGTTTGAACTTAATACCGTTACACCCGGAGCTGAGATAATGAGATATAACAGCCTAGGTGCTAGAATCTAGTCTACCTCCTAAAGAATGTCTAGCCCTTTTAAGAACACTGATCTTTATTCCAACAAAGAGAAACCTCAAAGTAAATTACTAGCACAAAACTTAAAGATTGCCAAACCTTTTTATAATATAATGGTGCCTGCTTCCCAACATCTCGCGGTATAGGGATGCACTCAACTAAGCAATGACGTCTCTGTTTCGCCAGTCCCATGACAGTTTCAAGGAACACACAATCCTTTTCTTGTTGTGCAAATATCATAATAAGGCATTTCTTGAAGTTTCGGAATTCCTCCCACACGTTGTCATCAACAGATCTTGTAGCTGATTCGTGCTGTCCAAATTTTAAAAAACGACATTATATCTGAGAACAGAAAAACATTGGTAAAACTCAAAGGTTGTGTATGGGATAACAGAAAACAACTTGACAATAGGACATAATTTTAGTGAAAATGTTTACTTATTGATTCATTAATTAGTATTTATGTAAAAGTAGTTATTCACCTTTATATTTACCACCATTCAATACAACCAAATTACACGCGCACACACACAGGGAGAGAGACATCACTACGTTCACAGTAGTAAATGGGAGATAACGTAAAGATAAAAAATTTAGAATAAATATTTACCTGCAGAGTTAAAATGCAACAATGACCAGGGATAACTTGCTGCCACGGTGGTATTGATAAGTAAGTGAAATTTGCAATGGCCACAACCAAATGTTTTGGCCTTTTAGGGTTCTCGAAGCAGAATTGACAGCGCTCCTGTTGAGTCACTATGCCCTGTGCATAGCTAGTTATCTTGGCAGATTTACAGTCAGTTTCCCCTACTCTCTTCCGGCTCTTTTTCATTGGAACATCATCATAGTCATATTCATCATCTGCCCGACTAGATATACTATATTGTTGGTGTCGCACAATCTTGTGAGCCAAATGCATGTCAGCATCCTCCTCTTTCTTCTTCTGTTTACTGGACAGCTCATGCACAATATACCTATGATATATTCCATGAAAGTTAGGCAAACTTCTACCGAATGATAAGCAATGCAGATGCACACAGGCGCACACCCCGGAGCCAAACGCCCCCACATTTAGAAAAGGTGCACTACGGGTCACCATCATGCACACACGCACTTAGAATAAAAAAGTTCATTTGTATGCTCTTATTTTTGCAAATCACAAATATATTCCTACATGTATACACGAAGAACAAAGGTTAAGACTGGTTCTTTACAGATGCATAATACCTGCTTGTGCTTCCATCAATACGACGACTATGGGACTCATCACCTTTACCATCACAAGCACCTTGTTTTGCTTTCATTTCTTCAGCTTCTTTCTGTTTGGAGAAAACAATAGAAAGTTAACAAAATGGAAGACAATTTAAAACTTTTAAAATCAACGACCTTCTATCTCAAAACACCGCACTAAGTTTATGGCTATGAATTTTAATAGGATATCTGATCACTATCATTAGTAAGATCAACAAAATACAGCTGATGAATTCAGAATATTGAAATAGATTATAGATCCACTGCAAAAAAATGAGATGGGACGGTCAAATGCTGGGAAAAAATATGATCAATTTGAAAATGATC